ATAATTAAAAAAAAAAAAATGTCTAAAAATCAAATTAATATTATTAATTATATAATTTAATATCTAAAATTCGTATTAAACACTTCCTTAAAAACATGTTTTAAGTATTTGTCTAAAACATATTAAAAAAATGTACGTTTAATTATATTTAATGTTTTAAACATGTCTAAAAGTTTGTATACTTTAAATTTGATGAAAAGAGAGATGAAAAGAAAAAAACTGTGCGCAACAAAGTATAGAAGGTACGAGTAAAAAAGACCTATAATTGATCATTAAAAATTCAGGATTTGCTGCTGCAGGATTCGAATAAACCCATAACACGTTGTGAATGCTTCAAAATTTATATGTTTATATAAATTATGACTAGAATTCTTGTATCTGTTTACTCAGAACATAAATCAATTTTACTAAAATAGCTTCAAACATTGAAAGATTACATTAATATGTTCTTATAATAATTTTATCTCATAGTGACAATTCCTAATTGTAACTTTCTTAATTAGATGTAACCAAATTATTGATTGTATTAAAATAAATATAAGATATACATTACTTGTATATATTTACATATGAAATTTCTTATAGCAATAATCACAAATTACAAAACATACAATTGTTTTTGTTAACAAACTAATAATTAACTATAAATTAAATAATTGGCAAATATCAATGCAAGTAGATATATGTGAATTATATGGTAATTATATAATTAACAATTATATTGTTATATAATCATAAATATTGTATATAACAACTTTTGGAATGCTCATCTAAGATAAAGTATCACTAAAACGATAACTAGACATGTAAATGTCATACCAGCAACCAAAATGAAACCATCCTGCCGAGCTCTTTGCTCTATTAGCCTCATAGTAGTGTTAGAAAGACCCAAGGTGTTGCCAATATCTATCAAGCGTTTGTGTGCTCCTTTCAATGTTAATCTCTGAGATTTTAAGTTGTCCAAGACACCGCTACCCTGATGTAATAGATCATCTATGCCGTGAACTGCATTTTGCAAATTATTACTATGTTGTACAGTATGATCTATTAAAATATCAACATGATCATTTGAGGTAAATTTTCTTGCTAATAAGGCTTCTCTCTCAGCTTCCTCTCTCTGTTGTCTCATCACACGATTACACCATGAATTTAAGGCAGCACTGAGATGACGACTATCATACTTCAACTGATCTACTCGCATTCTGGTATTCTGTCTCTGCGACACAGGTCCTTTCAGGCACAGCACATCCAGTCGTTCACAATTGCTAAAAAGAAACAATGGCGAATCAATTCAATTAAATATTATAGTCTACTACAGTATATATCTGTATTAATATACAATCTCTATTAATATACTCTATTAATATACAATCTCATATACAATAAAAAAACTGAATATACAGGTGCAAACAATATTGCTGAGACTACCTGTTGATAAGATTGATTTTGCTTTCTATAGCCGCTTTTATTTCCTGCAAATCCGTATCGGACGACTTTCTCTCCAGATTTGAGAAAAGGTGTTGCGTTTCTTGTACTAATTTATTAGTTTGATGATACAACGATTCCATATTTCCTACAAAATTGGATTAATATCTGTCAATCGGCGCTCTATGCGGCGAAAAATTGTAAAATGTCATCACTTACACCATAACCAATGACGTGTCCAGCCATGGAATACAAAATTATATAGTTGATAGACTCCCATTCAATAGATACAGTTAGGAGTAAAGTGCTGCTCACATGTTTGTAGACGGCAAATGAACAGGGCTACATGAACTGAAATGTCTCGTGGGTCTCATACAACCAATAAAAGAAGAGAATGTAGTCTGTTGAACGCAGAGGTCTTTCCTTGTTTCGATCGGTCCGGTTATTCAAAGCGTGAATAAATATAAATTATCTCTAATAAATTTCTCAAGATGACGACACTCAGGCCTTTCACATGCAACGATTTATTCAAATTCAACAATGTGTAAGTAATTTTCGGTAAAAGTGTTTCTATCATAATCTGAAGTTTAATTATACATCGCGTTTTTCACACAGGAATCTGGATCCTCTCACAGAAACAGTATCCTTTACTTCGATTAATGGAAATTATTTAGTTTAGCTACATCAGAACAAATATCAATGAAATTACGTTTATTCGACGTATTTTTGCACGAAATGAAAGAATTTGGCAGAAAAAAGTGTCGCTCTACTCCGTGAAGCGAGATATTAATCGTTAAAGTTGACGACTTGACAGGTTAGGAAATCTGTCATATCGATGAAATGTAGCGACATGAGCATGCTCTGTGGCCACATTAAACTAAATAATTACCATGAATATAAGTATTAAATCTTCGCCTTACTAAAATGTGTGTGATGAGTCTATTTCATATTAAAATTAAAACAGTGCATATTAGCAAAGGCCCCTATGCAAGGTACATCTGCTAAATAAAAACAAATAAATAAAAACAAACAATAATTAATTATAAATTCAGATAATATTTTAAATAAGTAAATTATAAGTTAACAACATACCTTGCATAGGAGCTTTTGTTCATCTTCATTGTTTTAATTTTAGCATGAAATAAATTCATCACACATACTTTAATAAGGCGAAGATTTAATACTTATATTCATTGTAATTATTTAGTTTAATGTGGCCACAGAGCATGTTCATGTTGCTACATATCATCGATATGTAGCAAGATTCCTAATTTGTCAAGTCGACAACTTTAATGATTAATATCTCACTTCACAAGACAAAGTGATACTTTTTTTCTGCCAGATTTTTTTGTTTCGTGAAAAAATGCGTTGAATAAGCATAATTTCATCAATATTTGTGCTGATGTAGCTAAACTAAATAATTACTTGAAAATTAAGTAGTGAAAAATTTTTTATTAAAAATATTTTAGATCTAATAAAACGGTTTTCACATAAAATGAGATATTGGTTATCAATATAAATAAAATAAACTAGAAAATATTCTGAAATTAATTTTAATGATTTCAAAATATGTATATTCCTTCATCTCTTATATTTTTATTTAGTATGGGCTTTCGTTTTATATGCATTATCTTGCACACTGGCCAGAGTACTTTCAAGTGGCTGAATCTCCAAGTGGCGAAATAATGGGTTATAGTAAGTTCAATCAAGTTAGTCTCACTATGTTACCACAATGAAGCGTAATTCTTCATTATATTTTAGCACTAACTTGTTCTTGTTTCAAAATTGCCTGCAGTTATGGGAAAGGCAGAAGGACATGGAGAAAACTGGCATGGCCATGTAACAGCTCTCACAGTTTCCCCAGACTATAGGAGACTAGGTCTTGCTGCAATGTTGATGAAGTTCCTTGAGGAAGTTTCAGAAAAGTAAGTTAATTGTTGAGTTGATTCTTTAGCTGTTGTCTAAATGAAAAGTTTTAATATCATGTTATCTCCCATAGCGAGCTAGAATTATATAAATTTTTTGTTGAATTCTATTTTAATAAAAGAGATAATAATGGTTATTATTACCTTCTAATCAGGAAACAGGCCTATTTCGTGGATCTTTTTGTAAGAGTCAGCAATAAGGTGGCCATTAAGATGTATCAACAATTAGGATATATCGTTTATAGGACAGTACTAGAATATTATAATGGAGATCCAGATGAAGACGCATATGGTGAACCTATATTTCTATGCAGTTTGAAATAATGGTTCTTTTATTATGTACACGAAATTAATAAATATTACTTTCTTTCCAGATATGAGGAAAGCACTATCGAAAGATGTGAAAAAGAAATCTGTAATTCCGTTGACACATCCTGTGAGACCCGAGGAAGTAGAATGAAAGGTTTCAACAATATCTGTGTATTACATAAAATGCATTACTTAAAATATATTGATTATTTAATTCCGACTTTTAACTTGGAGTTGTTTTTGATAATAAAAATAACGGTTACTTGATTGAAATCGTTTAAACAATTGAATCAAACTTCTATTGGTTCGATAGACTACGTGTTACTGAGTTTTTCATGTAACACTTGGCCCTTAGTATTGATATAAATATTTCGTTTTCGACGTAAACTGGTTCAGATCGTTCTCAGGTCTAAATCCATTTCAGTCGAGAACACTAATAGACACAGGTGCTCTTGAAGTTTAAAAAAAATATAAGTTCTAGATGATTTTATGGAATGAGAGTTCACATACGAATGTACGTACGTTATGTATTAATGTGCAGTTTATTTGTTCTCCTGTACAATAGTACACAACGTTTCCCACTTGTCGGTCTCGCTCGTACCTCGTTTTTCTCGTATGAATAAATAATAAATATAAATGTAAGATGAGAGATAGGCTCGGTAGAATGCGATCCGAATAGAGCTCGATCAATCCTGAACTACTAGCTGCCTATTTTGATTCTACTACTTTTTCAGAAACGCAAACGTCCGTTTTTCATATGATATTTACACGAATGAATGAATATGTACGCGTACGATTTCTTCCACTAAACGCGCGTGCGCGAGACTCATGATATACAGGGGGAGGGGGAGGGAGGGGAGGAGAGGAGAGGGTGCTAGTCACCCGCGCAATAGCACTCGATCGATATCGCGTATATTATAAAAAATTAGGGACAAAATGTCGTTCTTGCATATCTTTGTACTGCACTCAGTAGTCTGAAGTTCGAATTATCCGTACGAACATTCGAAGATGTGCTAAATGAAGCCGGGTATACGCGTTAGTCCGTCCGTTCTTAGACAACAGACCCTTGAGGGTACACAATGAAGACGTTCGAGAGAATCTCGAGGGAAGGGATTCCTCGGACATCTCTCGTTGGTCCTTTGAATTTCCCATCCTGTTTCAGGTTGTTGTTTTTCTCGCTCTCGGAGGATACAGACGCAATCGTAGCCGCGAAATTACAAAACCATCCCAAGTCTTGTACGTATTGCACGAAAGCCCTACATTTTTTTTCTCTTTCTTTAGCCCCGCTCGTTTCATAATCGCTAGAAGGAAGACGTTTGCTAGTTACGTAGGACACACGTCGAACGAGTACAAAACTTCCATTACGATAGACAACGCTATAAATCGCTTACGTCGCGTAATTTTTTAATACACAATGTTGCACACAGAGTATTACGCACACAGGAACGCGATGCTAATCGTTAAATAATAAATTACGTTCCCATCATTAACAATCTATTTCATCGTGTTCTTGTATAAAAACAAAAGAAACGCAATTACTTATATCTTAAATAAATATCGAGACTAGCTGTTATCCAAGTTAACATATCGGATGCTTGTTTGTTAATTAATCGATATCTGGCGAGTAGCCTCACGTGTAAGAAGTAAAGAAACGGACGTTCGAGAAGAAGATGAGAAGAAAGTAAGTCAGTCTCTCTCTCTGCGGGTAAACGGAATGTAAAGTGGTTCCGTTTACAAGATTCATTTGCCATCTCGTGATACTTGAGACTGGTTAAAATAAAACCGTCCCCTTTTGCAATTCCCTCTTTTTTTCCGTCCAAATGTATTAAGGTCGGATTAAGATTCTTGATCCGAATTTATATGGATTTCGATTAAATTGTAAGTTTTTAATTAGTACTCTTCATTTTAAATTAAATCTAATTTTTAATTTCAACCTAATCTCTCGATCAAATTAAGAATCTCTCAATTCCAACTTAATTGTAATAAAATTCAACTTTTAACGCAAATTCCACTTATATCAATACACCGGCCGAAGTAGCAACGTGACGAAAGATGTTGAACGAAATAAAAAAAAATCACGTTACACGATATAGCACACGATATAGACACTCACGTATGCGCTTTCCAGCTGCCAAATAAACTTTTTTTGGCCGGTACATATAGGTCGTAACAATTTTACTCGGTGAAGTCGGGGAGGAACATATCGCTGTATCGCTCTTTATATACTCCTAAACACTTAGTAACTCTGGTTAATATATACACGGTACGTGAATACATCACTCTCACGCAATATCTTATTCATGTTTCTCCCCGTTTTTTCTTTCTTTTTTCTTTTTAATTTGGTATATAAATACGGTAGCAAAAGTCTCAGCGTGATACTTAGCCGCGGGATGAAACTATTCGATGTGTTAGTCGCGCACACTAAATTAGGCAGTGTTAACAGATCGATTCTCTCGATTGATCTCAGTCACCACTTTTTAAACCACGACTTCTCTTGTTCTGCACGATCCTTTCTTCGCGGTTAGCTCGTGCTTCTCGTTAAATATTTACACGGGTATGGTCTTACAAGCATCGGTACTAATTTACATGCATACACGACGAAACGTAAACGTATGAGTTGAACGCGTGCGATTGCGTTGTTTTCCTTTCTCACCGAAAACAAACAAAAAACGGCGGTGTCGCGGTGTACGATACTAATACTGCACTTTTACGCTGCTCTTTTCATATAATACAAACGAGAAAAGAAAATACTCATCGTAGTCAGACCTTTGCGCGAATTCAAGAGACACATTTGCCGTCGTCTTCTCTCAGACTAATGTAAGCCGGCCTTTCTATTTAAGGTCTTTGGTGATCCGGTGTCGATTTCAAAATATCGGGTTGAGTTGGAAGACAGCTTGAACCTGCAACAACAAAGTTCAGGTAGAGTCAACAATTTCGCATCGACATATCGAAGATATTGGAAAAAAGAGGAAAAAAAATGGTTAAGTCGCTGTATCACCGACCAGTCGCAGGCCTCAGAGTGGATTTGATGGAACGGTGCGATCCGTTGCGCGTCAGAGTGTTCATTTGCGGAGTGCCCGGTAATGTGTGGCCCAGCGCGTTCATGTAGTCCGCGATCAGCAGTGTTATCTCCAAGATCTGGAAAGTTATATTACGAGTGAGTGCAACGGATAAAATATGTAGATTTCCTTAGATTTTTGATTGTAATATCGTATAGTCGCATTCACCTTAGGTTTCGAAAGTGCGAACAGTAATTTTTGTTCGGCCGCACCCTCGTCTGGGCAAGCAACGAGCATAAAATCGTCCAAGCAGCCGCCGAACGTTACTATGTTCGCGTAATTATAACGACACATGACCGCCATAGTCTGCAACTCCAGTAACGTCACGCTGTCTTCGGAAACTGCTATCCAAACGGTGACAGGATCAGTTTGCTTCAGCTGAAAGAAACGGTAGAGTTGGTTTTAAGGTAACATTATGATGAAAAAGTTTCTTTTTTTACGATCAAAAATATAACATACAAGTAAATTATGAGTAAATTCGAAACGCATTAAATCACTAAGATTCAATCAGTTAGAAAAGTTGAGCGGAAAAGTTGAGAACTTTTCTGTCGTTTTTGAAATCGAATGGACGCATTCGACTGATCAAAAAATTCTACTTGATTTCAACAAACGTAATACAGACACCAATGCCAATAATGTTCTGCTGCTAGAATGTTGGTAAAGCATTACAGACAACAACGATTATTTGGTCATAAATAATAATGAATAATATTGTTTGTACTGATTGCAATGAAGTTCAATTAAGGGAGATTCTCAGGTTTTAGAAAATCGATTTTAATTCCTTGCATTTTTTTAAAGATTGAAGACTTGAGAATATTTTAAGCCTTGTAATGTGTAAAAATTCCGAAAACTTCGATATACTCTAAAACAGTATCACCAACTTTCATTACGACGATTAACCCTTTCATTACGAGCGCCGGATATATACGGCATCCATGCGATGACCTGTGTGTATGAGTGCCGGATATATACGGCATCCACACGATATCCTGTGCGTATGAGCGCCGGATATATCTGGCACGTGTATATGTAAACGCATGTTAACCCTTATCGGACGCTAGCTTTTTATGCGTGATTCTCACTAGGCTGTAGCTGGTTTCGCTAAATATGCGAACTTGTCACCTCCTACGTGACGTACGACCGCAGCGACGAATTGTTGTCACGTGAGAGGTGACTTACGACCGATAAGGGTTAAGATGGCGTTGTTCCGGTGTAAGACGTAAACCGGAAAAACCGAAGACTGGCCATGCGCAATGTGTACACTTTTGGCGTGGGCTTCCGTTCAGTAGCGGGGCTCCGACGGACTGTCGAAGCGAAAGGGTTAAAGCCGTTCTCCTCAAAACGACATTTGTCAAGCTGGTTGACAATTTTTCTCGAAAATTAATGAGCTAATCGTCTTCAGGAAAATTTTTATATGTAAAAACGTTACTCTCTATCGTATGAATATATAGAATTTTGATATCTGTAAAACTTTTTTTACCGAGCAAAACGTACGAAATTGTATGCGAAAATTAAGATTTTTTCTTTGTCATATTACTATTTTCTCAATTTTCATTTTTTCTTTCATCCCTACATTCATACGGTAACTGTCGTCATAGATTAAGAAATTTTTTTCAAAATTTGATTCATATCTAGAGCTGTAGGAAAACTACCAGCCGAACCAATCTTGTCAAAGCGCCATATTGCGACGGCCTGCGATTTAACAATGAGACAATATATAGCTTTGACAAAAAAAAAATAACAAGTTGCTATGAGAAATATAAATAAATATACCCACAAAATTGTGTAATAAGGTAATAAGGTGTAATAAGGTAAATGTCCTAATAATTGAACGTATCCCAATGATTGAAACATTGATATGTGTTTATTAAGATACTTATCAATAAATGAAACAAAATCACAAACTAACTAAACGTTTATTTTAATTTATTATATTGTTCTGTATATTGAAAAGCATCTTAATGAAAAAAAATACATTAATAATATTTTAATCATTGAGACATGTATGTTCGATCACTGGGACGTTTACCTTAGTTTTTTGGGGGAAAAAAGAAAAAAACTCAAAAAACAGTCATTTTTAGACCTACAACCAAGGAATACCCCCCCCCCCCCCCNGTACGAATAATCATTTATAATAATTTTTATTTTATCCATTATACCTTTGCTTGATACAGGGTAGCTCCGAAGAAAGGCCACTTCCTAGTACATGTGAGATAGATCCGAACACAATCCAACATACTACGTCCCTTCAATGCGATCCATTTCTCTTGCAATTTCTCCTGCAACTCCCTAATGACGAAAAATGGCGCGTTATCAGGGGAAGATAAATATGCGCAAACGACATAAAAGCGGTATAAAGGGAAAACTTCGAATGTTTCGCTTAGTTTTACCTCAATTGGTCGGCCGTAATGTTAGTCCGATAACGTATTGGATAGAATTTATCCAGAGCTTGCAGTACAAGATGATGTGGATTGCTGCCGGGGCCACTACCGCGCGCTTTGTCATTGTTGTATTCTCCGAAATCAATCTGGAAATCAATCGTAATGTACACAGTCGACGTGATGAAGTATATCGCAGAAAATGGGTCTGCTCAGCTCGAACTGTTTTAAATACCGATTTAGGTTACTGATAAACGGTGCACACAACAACGTGTAAAAGCGTACCTGTGCCATTAACGACGCGAGCTCGAATGCGAGCTCGCGATTTAACGGGAATTTTCCTTGCACGACCTGTTGATTTACTTGGTAACACAAGAGGAGCCTCTCTTTGTCCGTTTCCATTTTAGCAGCCTGCCGCCAGTAGCATCGTGACTTGTACGTCAATTGTATCACTCTGGTGTTCTCAAATTTCCCCGAGCCTTTCTCTCGTAACGCGGTCTCCCATTTGGAGATGATATCGCACAGCTGAAATCCATACGCGAGTAGCTCGAGTCATAGATCTCATATTTTAGTTCATTGACTGAAGTTTGAACATAATAAGGCCATTCTACAATGGCTGTAGTAGTGACTGTAGGTCCGCAGCATTTAGCTGAAGCTCGTAAAATTTAACGCTCTTGAAACTGTGCTGTTTATAATAGTTTACAACAAAACGTAAGGTAAGCTAATTAGAGAGGAGAAGATCACAGCTTTAATGAGTTACTTTGTTTTCTTTTAATTGGCAGACGTAATTCTTTCTCCGTAAGGAATGAAATGAAAATGAAAATAATTTATTTCGCTTAGATTAGATCTACTTTACAGGTGGAGTAAGCCTTTAACCTTTTGCTCTAAACACTAAATTATAATTTAGCAATTGCTAATTTCTAGTAAAAAGCAATTCCAGCGAAGCTGGAATTCCAGTAAAAAGCAATTCCATTTTTACTAGACGTCGCAATTCTTAAAATTTAAAGCATTATTACAACTTTTGGTAGCGCTTTTGTCAAAAATTACATTACATTTCATTGCTTAAAATCATTTTACAATGTTTGTAAACTCTACAATAGCTGTAAACGTAATGTTGTAAAGCATCTACATCTAAAGTATGCAGTAAGCTAATTGACAAATTGGACTCGGTCCTTAAGGCTGTAAGACAGGGTTGTAAAGGCTTTTTCCGATGGACCGAAAACGAAATAAAAATAATTCATTTCGTTTATCGCCTTATTTCAAGGTCTACTATATCGGAACAGTCTTTTACAATCCTGCCTTAAACCATACTAACTTTAAACAGTGTTACATTTACAGTTATTATAGAGTAGGCTTAAGCTGTGAATGAAAATAATTCATATTCGCTTACGATCTTATATTACAGTCTACTATGTTGCAATCTTATACATCGTTTTTTACAAACTTATAGCCATACTGTTACGGACATTACAGAATGGCCTTCAGAGAACAAAATGCTTATTACACGTATTGTAAATCCAAACTTACGATCTTACGTTGCGGTTTATCACACCAAAAACCGCGCCTTACAGACTTACAACCATATTCTTACAGCTATCGTAAAATGGCCTGTACAGTTCGCAAAGGTAATGCTAATTCACACGAGTGAAATCGTGCTTCTTTCAGGTATTACGAACCTTCGCTTGCAGATCAATGAAGTGTTCGAGGTCCTTTTCGATCGGGTCGTCACTGAACAGCGTGAAACCGGAATGATGGACGTCTCTGCAACCGATCTCCTGATTCAAGGTGTTCAAGAACTCCTCTATGGTGGTGCTGCCGTCGAAGCTCACGACCTGATACGTGCCGTTGAGAAAGTGCACCGGTATGGCGTGCGGCAGAGAATGGTGGTACGGATTTTTCATCAATATAGACAGTACTTCCATCCTCGACGGTTTCACTTCTCTGCTGCTATTCTGCAACGTTCTCTCCAAGGCTCTCTCGCAGTAAGCCGCATACTTGCCACATTCTGTTCTGTTGGCGTAACAATGTGACATAACGTAACGTGACAAAGTAAAATTTGCGATCGAATCGATCACTGCAGAAGTAAGAATAAGAGCCGACTTTTTCAAGAGCTCACAAAGATGGATAAAAATCCGTGGTTAAACTGAACATGCACCGTGGCTAAGGACTATTCTACAATGTCCGTAAAAATACGACTGTAAACTTGTTGGACGCTATAAGGGCTCGTTTCAATATAGCAGGCTGTGAAAGACTATTACACGTGAAAAAGATTCGGTCATAATCGTAAGTAAACAAATTGACCAATCACAGTCGACTATTTCTTCTTACCGGGAACCCGGACCGAATGAAAATATCGGTCCGGTCCCGATTCCGATCTACTAAAATATTGAATAAAGGTTCCGGTTCCAGTTTCGGTTTTCTGGACAATAAAAATACTTTTAAACCGTTTAAATTACGGTTCATTTCGGTTCCGGTTTTTTAAACTTGTTTCCTTACTGAAATTTTTATTGACTTAAATTTTATATATATATATAACATGTACAATAACATATTATAAAAAAATAATAATATCACTTTCTCGATGTAGATGGCATTTCTTCACTATTTCCATTTTCTGCTTTTAACTTTTTTGAAAATATAATATTATTCTCGTTATATGTAACTGCTTCCTAACGGAATATGTAAATTATATAAATTCTGGAGTAAATTCTGGTAAATTATATAAATATTTGGAGAATATCTCGATATTCTCCGAGCTTCCTCAGAAAATACACGTTCCGTTGGAGTAATTTGTACAATTCAGGATGTCTTTTTATTTATCGCAAAATTGTAATATTTTTCTTCTTCTATTATTCCTCTTCTGTTCAATATTGTATGCTTAAAGTTTATTTTCTATTTATCGCGATAACTAATCAATGTTCTGCTTTTTCGTGAGAAATAGAATTTTATTGTAAAAGGAAAAAAAAACGATTATTAAAAATTACAAAATAAGAACCGAAATAATGAACCGAAAAGAACCGCAAACCAAAAAAATGTAACGGTTCCGATTTCGGTTCCAGTTCTGTAGACTTTATAAAATTTCGGTACAGTTTACAGTTCTGGTCCGACAAAAATACCGGTTTCAATGCGGTTTTTGGTTTCGGTCCGGTGCGGGTCCCTATTTCTTACCAAGAATAATCGATTGTGGATGGTCAATTTGCTTGTGGCTTTACGGTCACGACTAAATCTTTTTTACGTGCAATGGCCTTAATATAAGATCGTAAGCAAATATAAATTATTTTTCATTTCGCTTAGGCTGGACCTATAATAAGTGTAGTAAGCCTGCTCTAAGCACTAAACTGTAACGTAATTTCTAGCAAAAAGCGTGCTATCAGACGTCACAATTCCTAAAATTTAAGCATTATTACGACTTTTAGCAGCGTAAGAAGCACTTTTTGTCGGGAATTACATTACACTTTGAACTTACAATCTTATGTTGCGATCCATTGCACCGAAACGGATCCTTACAAACGCGTTTTTACAAATTTAAGCGGTATCTGCAATAGGTGTAATAGAACCTTTAAACCGTAAAAAATTGACCAATCTTAATCAATTATTCTTCTCACATTCGACAAATTTACTAATAAACCAGCAACATTATTTCAGTATTACTTCGTCAGTGCGTGACACTAGAAACTGAGTAAAATCCAACTTTTTTTCTTGGACGCTAGCGTCAAATTAAAACCACGTTATCATGTTTGACACTGCAACGAGCGTCTCATCAACTATAAGTGGTCAATTTCTTACGGCTTAAAATTTACTATATCTATTATAGACTCCGTCTCACATCCTTACTCTTACGGCCTTAGCAGAATGGCTAATTTACTAATTCAAAACAACGTTTTATGCCCTGTTTTTATATTAAATAACGCATAATGAGCTTATCTTGTGTCTGGAGTCTTAAACTAAAAAGCTGTTTTGCTTGTGTGATTGATGACAAACCGCTATATAAAAAGTAAAATAAGAAAGGTAATTTAGACAAAAATTTAAGGAACATTGTCTTAAAATTACAAGTCAGCCATTCTATTAAAGCCTTTACGGACATTATACCGGATGTTTCTTAAATACCTAGCTATATTCAAGGAGAAAAAATTCTTTGGTTTATTCCAAGTAAAAAAGTTCATATAAACATGAGCATATACGTCAATCTTTGAGGAAGACCGAAAAGTATATCATGATGGAAGGTGGTTATTCTCAACAATTCATTTAATTGTTTCATTTCTAATTTTTGACTTTTTTGGCTATTGTATTTTTGAAATATCATCCCTGATGTGTTATAAGCTTATACCAAGTTTCAATAAAATATCTAAAATAAAATATATAAATATCCTGATAAATATATAAATATCTAAAGCCTGTGTGACATTTACATTTTCCTGAAAATTTCAACATCCTGTATTTCGGACTAAGTCTTTTAGGACATATGTTTACATGAATTTTTTTACTTGAAATAAACCAAAGAATTGCCCCCTTGAATATCGAATTAAGGTTCCTGTGTCTTTAGTTTGACTATCTTTTTTTGATGACGTCAGAAGCGAGAAATCGCATGTCATTAAATATATTACGTTTTACATGGAAATTAAAGAATATCTGCATAAAATGACACTCGTGATTCAGCACATTTAGAAAAATATCTAGATGCTTTTCTTTAACCTGAATAATCAATAAATAGCCATAAAATTAACATAACAGAAATCATGAGAAAAGATAAGTTAAAAACGTAAGTTGCATGTTACACTAATTTTCGGTTATTGATTGCTCAAGTTAAAAAAAAGCATTCAGGAATTTTTACAAGTGTGCTGAATCTATCACAAGTATCATTTTATGTACATATTTTTTTATTTCTATGTAATATATTTTGGCATGCAATTTCTTGTTTTTTGACATCATCAGACAAGAATAGTCAAAATGAGGACACAGGAGCCTTAAGGCTTCTACACCCTGTAGAATAGAATTAAGAATCTCCGTAATACGATCGACTTGTTCAAATCACAGCTCACTCACTTGCTGTCGGCGTTTCTCTGCAGGTGCAGCTTCAGGTACCACAATAGCCGATTGTTCCTGGGTAGGAAGAGGGAGACGGCGAGCGCCAGGAGCTGCCATCCCTGGATAAGCACGTACTGCGCGGGGTTAGTTTTGCAGTCCAGGATAGTGGAGGTCGAGTGGCCCTGCGTGAGCGGAGGACTGTGAGAAGTCGAGGCCGTTGATTGCGCGTCCGCATTTTCACCGCTGCCATTTGCCGCGGGACTTTGCGTATCGCAGGTGAAGAGCGATTGCGTGGCGCAGAGGAGGAGCTGCTGCAATGGTATGCTGGCATACTACTACGTCCCTGTATATATTATACTCAGCCAATCCTAGCTTACTACTTTTCGTTCGTAGCGACGTGATCGTTAGCTCGCATGAACGTCTTGGAGAACGAGAGCGAGCAACAAAGCATTTGCCCTTTTTTTTATTATTTGTCTTTTATCGCTTTACATAGTATTCGATCTTACTTCACTTCTTAATCATTTTATATATATACAGCCTGTGAAAAAATTGATGGGCCGAAAGAAATAGACGGGAATTCTTATTCTGTTAGATATCTTCTTTCTATCCTTTGAAATCGACGATTATACCTTAAGAACGTTTCAATTCTTTTCTATTCTTTGTTGTCCTTATTATGTATTGGCATTATTTATTTATTCTACATATTCATTTCCCTAAAAAAATTAGAGAAAAATAATATGGATTTAATTTTCTCAAGTTTTTTTTAAAGATCAAATTTTGTAGAGTAATATGTAACGATTCAATTAAACGCTCTACGTAAAATGAAATAAGAAAATCACTATGTTATGTATATTAAACACTTGGCAGAGACACGACCGTGTCTCTTGATTTTATAAAGTATCAAGTTTCTTAATATTATTAGATAAGAATTGAAATAAATAGAAAGCAAAATACTAAGTAAAAGAAAGGAATCAAAACCTTTGTAAAACATTTCCTAATTTCAAAAATTAGAAATTTACTATCTTGTAGAATCAAGTCCTATTAATTTCTTTCAATCTGTTGATTTTTCCACACGGCGTAAATATCTTCTTTTTGCAAATGCAAAATTGTTTTAATTTTATTCATAGCAACCACTATATATAATTCGAATTAATTGTGGCTCGGTTAGTAAGTAAGCACGAGAAATCGAAATTTCCACGCAAAACTCTACGTGTTAATCGGAGAAAAACGCGTACTCTCGATATAAACCCTCAAAAATTGAATGAATCAAAACATGTGAGAATGAGAGAAGCTCTTAAGGCTCTTAGGCCGCGTGAAATCTACCGTACAGCTGTAGAAGCGTTGCGTTTACGTTCATTGACGTTACATGAGACGAGCGAGGCTTACTCTTTCCCCCGCAAATTTGTGTTTATGGCAATGTAAGACTCGGAATTCGATGTACCCACGCACTATAATGCCTCTCTATTAAATTTAAGCGGGGAAAGAATGAGAAGACGGGTAGGAGGTCAAAGATTAAAAGAGAGGAAACGAGTGGGCGAGAAAGAATGAAAACCAAACGACGCAAAAATCCAAAAGACTGAAAAATCGAAAAGATGCCTTAAGAAACATTTCCAACGTTTCAGGCGTTTCTCAGGCCTTTCTTCAGATACTTGCGACGTTTGGTAGGGAGGAATAAGGAAAATTTTATTTGTTGGAACAATCGATTCCGGTGAGATAAAAGTCTAAGTTTCTAAGCAGCATTCAAACAGAGAATATCGAAGTAACTGCTTGCAGCTATATATTATAAAAAAGGAACTTATGCAAAATTAGAAAAAAAAAGGAATTTAAATATGTTTCTCTGTGTGTGTCCTCATGTACACCAACATACCATTCTGCAAGTGTGTGTGTGGCGCGGAACGTATTTTGACAGACAATCCCATTAGAGTGAGAATCAATTATTTTGTGACATATATGAGACAATTGGATGTAATTGATTATAACTTATGATATCGTCGAAATATGTTCAGCTCACACGAAGGGCGTTAGGGTAATTTTGATTGAGTATGAGATGTATAATATTAAAATATATGGTGAGAAAAAACAAAGAAAATTTAAACGCCACATATGATATTTAACAGAATTGTAAACGCATGCGATTCAAGTGGTGAGAGCCTAAAAGACAGCACACTTAAAGCGGCAAATGAGAATCAAATGTGTGAATGATTGTTAAAACTAAAAAATAGTCGTTGAACTTGGTCAAGTATTATCGCGACGACCAACGACGGCGCGTGTTCTTGCCGTAGTCGAATATCCTTGATTGACGCTTAGCCAGAATTGTTGTTAGTTGCTCTAAACCATTACCCGGTGCGCCCGCACATATTTCAAATTCATACTTGTAATTAACATATTCGCAGCCGCTGACATAGTAATATTTTCACAAACTTTTCATAAATTATAGTTGGTTGTCGCTAATGTAGAGAGTATTATGTTTTTTTATATCTTAAGTTCAAATTTATCAAAATGAATTTTAATAGAGTTGAAATTAGTTTTAACCTGGAAATTAAATAAATTTGTTTACATACAATTATGCAAGTATTGTAGAATTCCTTTATAAGGCAAATATTTTCAAAATTATCATATAAAAACGAAATGTTAAATTATATTTTTATGTAAAAGCGTATAATTAATTTTTTATATGTAATAATATTTCATTATTTTATTTTTATGTAAAAATGTTCAATTAATCTTTTCAAAGATATAAGTAAATTAAAACAATTTTTTTAAATTTTAACACTTCCTATGTTCATAATTTAGCTTTTTTTTTTGTTTAGATTTGTAACAAGAATATTTTCTTTAATTTCAAATAACAAGTAATTATAAACATGATATCTTGAAGCAAGTTTTATAATTTTTATTCTTATTTTAACGATAGAACTCTGCGACAACCAGCTATAAATTTAAGTTTATTGTATGCAGCTTCCAATTTTCTTGTTCTATTGACAGCCCCTTTTGTAGAGGCCTGGACCTCTCCGAACGGCGAATTTTTGGAGAGAGGTTTCCATGGCATGAATACTCTTGCCTTACCTCTTCGGTGGTTTGTCCGACCACCGAAGAGGTGCCACGAGCACATGGAAACCCGGGACTTCCAAGCATAGCAGATCGGTGCACTGTCTACCATGCCACGCTCGCTTCCAGTTTTAGAAAGATGAAAAAATTACCGACTGCGAAAATGTTAAAAATTATACGTGATAAAATTATTTCACAATACTTGACTAAGCATTACCCAGTGTACCATTTTCCGCGTTGGAAGGAATATCGTTCGAGCGAATCAAATGATACCGGAACCGGTTAAGTGATGAGCGTATGAGATTGTGATGACAGATGAGATCCAATCCCGTTCTGAGAAACATGACCGATGATGATATTGCTATCGTTTATAACTTAAAAAAAATGGTACAGGATGTTGAATGTTTTTTGTTAAACAATAAGCAGGACTTACAACGCGCGCAGTACCCAGTGACACAAGTCTGGCGGCCTTTTTTACCTGTACGCCCAAACGGTGTTGCGTGTGACGACTTGTCTGCTTTACCAATGCGCATATGAATTCAGACTGAAGTTCAGGCTGGTCTAAGCACTGTTGCAGTGCATTCTGTGCCAGAACCACGTGGTAGTCGATACCTGCTTGCTCTACCGCCACCGACATAAACAGCTGACAAGCCTATACGATCAGAAATGTATAACGATTATTTCAGCCATGAGATGGCTCCGGCTTTTCTTTTCTAACCACACTTTTCTCTCTCTCTCTCTCTCTCTCTCTCTCTCTCTCTCTCTCTCTCTCTCCGCGCTGAATGCAAATGAAGCAAAAATATATATATACATTCAAGTTTGGAAAAGCGCATGGAGCATGTCGTAGCGAGAAAATATCTGTCGTAAAAAGAAAATCGTGTCAACCTTGAAAAGCTTTATGGCCTCGGTCTGCAGGGACTCGGAAGTCAAGCTCGTCAATGGACTCGTGATATTCTCCTTCGTATGCAGCAACAGAGGATGTCGCCACAGCACGCAAGTAGGGTCCCCGTCGGTCTCCATCAGTCTCTGTACAAGCTGTTCATATTGAGTTCCCGCGCTCGGCCCACCGCCGGAGACCACCGTCAGGTGATAGAGCCAGTTGTCTTTATCCTGCTTGTGCGGCATTAATAAATATGTGGGGCCCTGATGCGTCGGAAAGATACCGATCGTTCTCTCGTGCGGGCACTCGGCATCCCTCTCCTCGCTGTCGCTGTCCGACACGTGTTCCACCTCCTCCACACGGGCGTCCCTCATGTTAATTTGGCCGATGGGATTCTAAAATCGCACAAAGCACCGTGACTTTGATAACAATATTGAGACATCACTCACTGTCACAGTGGATCGTTAAATAAACTCGCTCAGCCATTATATAATCAACGTCATATATACTGTATCATTCCTTAGATTAAAACTTTTTACTGTTACACAATTTTTAATCTTTCATGTGTATACATAAGGTTGGAACTATTGTAATTAGAGCTATTATAACTAGAGTTGCTTCTGCGATTTTTAATCTTATGGGTTATATGGGAAGGGTCCCGTTAGCACACGGTGCGATAGCACACATCCACTCACATCAGCCGGTACTTTTCCGCTAGACCAACAATTAGAAAATTTTATATTAAATTAGCCAATCACCTATGTGGGCTATCGGAGCCCGTCTGGTTACACATACGTATAAAAGCTGAAAATTATATAATTATCTGTTTAGGGAATGACTTTACTGAAATTGAGAACGCAACAAACCATTACGATTGAGAGTCACTACCGACGAGTTTGCTCAACAATCGATTATGACAGGAGCCGAAGTGACAGCATAGGGTGTAAATATTAGTGTATTATGTTATTGTTTAACAGATTTTAATTTCATTATTTTAATATTTACATTTTTCTTGGATTTTTAGTTTGATGTCCGATATCTCGTATATTTAAAACAGAAGATTTTTCCAATTCTTCGAATATCAATATTGCAACAGTTGAATTCGAGACACTTTCCAATATATTAACATGTTGTTACGTTACTTTGATCATATTTATTTTCATATCATGTACCATCATTCCTATCATAATCTATTGTTAAGCCCGTCGGTAGTGACTCTCAATCGTGATGATTCATTGCTTCCAGCTTTAGTGTGTTCATTTTGTTTCTCACTATACAACTGTTGCGTTTCACGCATACTTGCATGCGTACTCACCGTATCGCTGGGGCATTTGAAGTATAGGAACATCTTGCCGATGAGCACGCACCAACATTTTTTCGCGTGGCCATTCTTCACCTTCGTCAGCCAGCCTTGTATCGTCGGCTTGTTGTCCTCCTTACTGAGCAAAAGTTTTGTCGCGTTTCGCCTCTGCACGTTCTGTAGTACTCTTATCCAATCTTCCATCGTGGCGATGCAGTCCGCGGTCAAATAATAAGTCTTCTTACCAGTGGCTATCTCGAAAGTGGCAGCGCCTTCGGCTCTATTAATCCTGGAAGATATGTACAAATATCTCTCATTACCCCTCTTAATTTTCCTCCTAATTTTTCATGAATTCGCTATACATTCAGATAAAACTTCACGGATCACCTCGTGTCAGTTACTTATACGTACCTACACACTTCATCTAAAATTATTTGGCCCTGAGGTTTCCGATTGACGTCGTTTTGACTTTTCCAGTAGGTTAACACACCGTTCTTCAGAACAAACCACCGCTTCCGCCAGGTCTTCAACTTGCCGCCTAATTTCGCCAGGTGACCCGTCTTCTCCAGTGACTCTTGTCTCTTTGGACTATCGCCGGACACGCGCATTAGCAGGCTAGGCATGCTAGATTCCAGGGACGTCGAGCTGAGTGCGTCAGGAGGTATCGCGTAATCTTCGGACAAGCCTGACTCGAGAGAAGTGTCTGCAAGTTAAACGATTTTCAAGTTGTCGGATGTCCGACGTTTTATTCGCGAAGTTCGGCACTTCCTCCTTGGTTATTATCGTTTTATTTTATTATCTCGAAACAGAAAGCCAATGAAAAAACTCACCACGTTTTACGCTTTTACTGGGGGAACCGCTAGAACTTCTTTTCGCGGGGCTGAGACTGCTGGTGGTTTTGATGCTTTTCGACGGGCTGCTCCCACTGCCCAGGGAAGAGTCCGTATTATCGGACGAGCTGTTAGTAATTCTGGTGTTAGTCTCGGTTTGATTAGGGTGTTCCTCTCCGTCCGAACTGTCGTCTGAACTATCGCCAAAGGGCATCGATCTGATCTGACTGGCGCGTCCTGAAGAATATATCATCATTAGGTATGAAAGCCAGCGTTAGTTACACTCTGCAGCAGTGAGTAGACGAGTTAATCCAACTATCAGTAGTTTTAATTTGTCACACGGACGATATTATTCGCGAATTATATAGAAACGATTACAACGTACCTTTGACAGTGGCGTATACCGGCACAGAAATGTCGCAGTAGCCTTGAGAATTATGCGCCGTCAAATTGTGTCCTGTTGCCTGGGAGTGTTTCGATGAGCTTGTCGTGTTGGTCATCGTGGAAGGCGCAGATTCTTCGTTCGTCGGCGGACCGATGCCAAGGCCGCCGTCCGCTACCTGCAGATCGTCAATCGGATCGTTACATCACGTTAAAGTTGATATACACTGAGCGAATAGACAACGAACAAATAGCAAATATATAACATGAATGTATATATATATTTTCGTCTAAACGCGCACGAATTTTGCGAATTTGCACGAATAAACCGTAATTAGCAAATCGGCTTGAATCGTTCTGTTCGTTATGGCGTATAGTCAGCGTCATATATGTTGTACCATTCCTTAGATTGATATTTTTACTATTACATAATTTAGTCTTTCACATAATACATAAGATATACATAAGGTTGAGACTATTATTTCAATTAGAGCTATTATATTATTACCTACCATTATAACTAGAGTTACTTATACAATTTTCAACTTCATGCATTATGTGTAAGGCTGAAAATCGTGTAATTCTCTATCTAGAAAACGATATACAAACATAGGAAAATTTAACTATCAAAAATAGCAAGAACGGTGAACTTTATTTTTGAAAAGGTAAAAAAATAGTGGGGCAGATTTAAAAGAAGTGAGTAAAGAGTTAGTTTTTCCCAAATAATTTGTATGTTAAAAATTAAATTATTTATCTACAATATTATACTATTTTTCTAAGAGATTCAAAATAATGACCTTATAGTCAAAAGCCAATAAAGAGCAAAATTTAAATCTTGGGGGATAAAAAATTACATGATACATAGAATCTAAATTTTATTTTGAACTCAGTTTTAGGCGCATATTCAGATACGATAAAATAAAAAAAAAAACTAAATCTTTTGTGTTTTTTCAAACATATTTAATGAAATAAAATTAAAATACTTGAATTCAGTTAAATTACATTGTAATACATTTCCAGGATGTTGGAACATCTCAGGTCTTTTTGTTGAATAAAAACAAATTTTGAGAAATAAAAACACTTAAATTACAGGGTTTTCCGTTAAAGCGGACTAGTTAGTCAACTTCTTGTAAAAATAATATTCAAAAGATAATATTCAATAATATATATTGAATATTATCCAATTTAAAGAAAACCTAGGTATGCTCCTGGTTCAATTTGTTCTTTTAGTTTCATTTGTACATGATTCGTTTTGGTTTGTATATAATTCGTTTTAGTTTTGTGGACAAAACAAGAATTATGGATAGATAAATGTAGACAAATTATGGACAATCGATTCCATTATGCAATTGAAAGAAAACATAATCAGATATGTTCATAACGGTCACTGTTTGTTTTTCTGACAAACTTTATAAAAACAGCTTAAAAATAAAATCACAAATCTTCACTTTATGAATATTGATGGTCGGAGTATCGTTATTTTTTATTTTCATTAAATTTTTTGTTTTATCTTTCAAGACGCTAATTATTGAATATGATTTCTTGTGATCAATTTTTCTTTTAAAGGGCTTAAGTCACTTACTATATACCCAATTTCAGATTTTTCTCATTTTAGCGATATTCGGATCTGCATCGATAGCTCTACATTACCTGATAAATTTTCGCTTCCCAGCTGGGAAATCGGTGTAACGGCGGAGTCGGCGGACGAGGACCCTGGCCTCCACTCTGCAGCCAGTTCATACCCTCTCTACTGGGCGTGTAGATCTCGGCGTAGTCGTGCACTGCTTCCGAACTCCCGCTGTCCCTGCTCACTTCCGAGACACCGGGTATGTTCGGCAGCATCACCAGATTTTCCACCGCCGCGGCCAGCTCCTCGGACAGCAGACTAAATGAAAATGAAGAAAAGCGGCAAGCATAAAGCACGGAACCGACTTGCACTGCTTTCTGTATGATGCGTGTATGTGCGTAGGTGTGTGTACTGTGCGTGTTTCTCCAAACTAACAACACTAATCTCCGTCGAGACATGTAAAGACCGATTTTTCTCGACACGAAATCCCGTGATACCAAAGGACAGTCGGAAGGGTCGATAGATCCCCTCAGGAAGTCCCAGGACGTTACAGGGTACCACATTTCGGAAACTCGGGCGCCGCTATCACGTCGTGAGGCCTCCCAAGAAGAATCGAAAGATACGACCTGTACGAGCGAACGTTCTTTTCATGTTTCCCGTGAAGAGTATCGAGTAAGGAGTATATTCACAGCCTCACGGTGGCAACATGATTCGCGTTCGCAGATGCGCGTTTATCGTGGCAGGAAGGAGCCGGTGGGGAAGTCTTACCTCGAGTCCATATTGGTGGTTGCGATTCCTCGTTGAATGGTACCGCAAGCGGACAAATGCCTCCGGTGCTTCGTGCCCGTTTGCGACTCCGTCACGATATTCTGCACGCACTCCGGCACCGTCTGCGGCGTACCCTCCAGACTCTCCGATCGTCTACGCAGGGTGGAGTCTACTTCCAAAGATAGCGACGCTCTCGTCGGTGCCTGAGTTAGAAAAATTTTTATGATCGTACACCAATTATCACACCAGTTGAGGCTCTGTTAAGGTTCTTGGTTCCTGCAGTCGTTGTCTTGCTTGATGAAGCGTCAGAAGCGAGAAAACGCATGCCCAAGTCATACACATTTGTCAAATATTTCGAAAACTCCTCTCTTTGATAATCAATAAATAACTGTAAAATTAACGTGACATGCAACTTTCTTCTTAGCCTATCTTTTCTCATAATTTTGTCGCGTTAATTTTACGGTATTTAATGATTGTTAAAGCAAAAGAAGTTTCTAAAATATTTTACAAATGCTCGCTCAATCACAAGTATCATTTGGCTATAGCATGTATGCAAGAAGGATCCCACAAAACTATGATTTTTCAGATTTTAAATTACGATTTTTCAGATTTTATTACCAATGAGTAGTCTGTGCCTTTCTACATAAAACAAAAAAGTTCCAACTTTATGGACGCCTAAAATTAAAAAAACAGTTTTTATTTTTTACTAATTGTAGCATTTTTTATTAGTTTCATCTTTTTTACCCACTTTTTTAAATGGTTAAGCTTGTCAATGAACACCCTTAAAGAAAAGAGAATAGAGAGTATGCTTGACTTCTTGAACGACTGTGAAAAATCAGTGCAACTTATACCTTTTAAATCATGTACTAAATTTTCATCTTCATTTTTCTCGAAACATACTCTATGTGGGTTAGATTTTTCTTGCATAACTATGATTATTTCATGGACATATTCTTTTATTTCAACATATTCCGCAAGAATTTTTCGCATACGTTTTCTCGCTTCTGATGTCATTAATCAAGATGGCTGTAGCGAGAAAACAGGAACCTTGATGTTATAAATCTGGAAAAAATAGGGGCACGTTGATAGCAGACTATCGTGAGACTTACAGGTGGTTTCAGTCCGATGTTGGTTATATGATTGCGCAACAACTCGAGCTGTTGGTTGCACTTGTTGTTTTGTTCCCTCAGGTGTTGATTCTGTTGTTCGAGTTCTCTCAGCTTGTTAGTAACCCATTCCTTGATCCTCGCTGCCTTCGCCTCCACCTGTCTGGCGTCTTGCAGCCGTAATTGCCTCTATAAATGAGTGACGATGACTGACTGATAAGACCACTCTCCGCCCGATCCCACCCATTCGGACAAACGTCAGATACCGTAATCTCAAGTATCGAGGAAACAGATCGCGAGAATAGCGTGAATTATGACTCCTGACGATTATCTGCGCATACTTTGAAGCGTACGTTTTATCGCAATTTTGATTGTGACTTAAAAACTGTAGGTCTTTCGACATTTATTTTTTTAACGTTGCCATCCAGTCACCGGAACAAAAAAAACATGAAATAATAACTGCTTCTTGGCAGATAAGGTGACAAAAGGTGACTTTTCATACACCAAAATAGTGATCAAAATGACATTTTTGGCCAAATTCTGAGAGTAACTAAAGCCATTTAAGTAAAACAGCAAATAACATATAGTAGAGTTTTTTATAGTACGGTTTGAAAGTTCATAAAAAGGAAAGACTAAGAGTATAAACTATACTTTCGGAACAATCGGAAGCAGATGAGACGGCAAAAATATATGCAATATTTTACAAACTTAACGGCAACTTAGGAAAAAAGCAATAATAGTGACCTATTTTGGACGATAGTGATTTTTTAGTAACTTGTTGCGAAAAAGGGACAAAAGATGACTTAAGTAACTGGATAATAGCGCTGTTTTCTTTTCTTTTCTTTTTTTTAGCGAAGAACACTTATTTTAACACGTCCAACTTCTCTTGCGCAACAGTTTCGTTTACCTGCTCCTCAACTTGAGTCTCTAGTTTCGAGATGCAGGCACAATGGACATCCTCGATCTTGTCATTCTGCGTACCGGAGGTAGACGGTAGCGAATGCGGCGGAGAACCAACGCCGGATGTGCTCAAGCAGTATTCACCCTTCACCAGCCGCTCCTCCATCATCCGTACCTGGAACGGACAGAGAGTGAGTAAGCGAGCGTTCGTATTCATGTTCGTGCTGTGTTTCCCGGAGACATCGAACTCTACTTATCGATTGATACAATTATATATTGACGTTATATAATATTAAGCATCTAAAAAGGTACTCCTGATTAATCTCCGTTTCCGTCTTTTCCGTATGTATATTGTGCTATTGGAAAGCATTATATAACCAAGCGCGGTCGGAAATACAATGTTCATAATTGAAGAATATCGATTTCTCGCCAATATTTCTCTACCTATCTCCTACTCAGGCATCGATCCTTTTCGCCTTATTTAGGCACTCGTCCAGACCTAAATGATAGAAAATCGGAGAAACTCCTTCAGCTGTTGTTCCCTGGTTGCGATTTATATCGAGTACGTCGAGTCGGCCGAGCGAGGAGACGCGATCGCGAGATCACCGGTCAGACACGATGGAAACGAGCGAGCTTTTCGAGGAAGGCGAGGATCGAAATCATGCGAATGAGACAGATCTCACGTTGCATGCGATTATGGATAGACGGATAAAGAGAGGCAAACAGAGAGAGAGAGGGAGAGAAAGAGAGAGGACAGACTCATGCAGCAAGGGGAACTCTTCCTACCGTACGTACGTCGTACGTACGTACGCTCGGACGTGACATACGTCGTTCGTACACGGTTCGCAGCAGCTGTCAAAAATCGATATCACCTTGACGCTCGCTCGCTCGCTCGGATATGTACGCTCGGCGAGCGTCGTGTGAGTGAGCGAGAGCTTTCGTCCGCCGACGACGACCGGCCGAAAGGGGACTTGTCGAGAGAAAATCAATACGCGGGGAAATTGTCTCTCTCTCGAACGGAAAGCCAGAATGTTTTCTCGGCCTGTGCTACCCGACTTATATCGATCTCCCTCTCTCTCTCTCTGCTTCTCAGTTTCTGCCGCCCTCTGGCCTTCCTCCTCTTTCTCCTCCCCCTCCTCACTTTTCCATTCCGGTGTTTTCTCGTGAGTCGCGTCGTCTTCTCTCGCTGCCTTTGCGACGCGACGCGGCATGACGGGTCGCGTCACCCATGCGCTTCGCGGTGCGCTTAAAGCGACCGGCTTTTATCCCCGCGAGATGACAATCCAATTTGCTATTCGTACACTGGTCGCGCATATTCTTTCCTGATCGCTTCGACAGAACATTCCCAAGAGCCACCGCACATTTAGTATATAATTCTTAATATTAATAATAAAAATAAAAATGAATAATATTAATTTTGTAGACAAGCATTCTGTGTGTGGATTAAGCTGCGATTACAAAGAATCAACAGATCACTTAGATAACCAACAAAGCGACTTTCATGACAAAAAATATTTACATACGCACTCTATATAATTGTAAAATATCTATTTACAATATCACAATAATTTTCTCTAGTTGCAGTCTTGCTCTTACCCCGATTAAACGCCGCCATGGTAGATAATTTCTCAATAGTGGCTCTAACTTCTATCCTTATTCTAGTGCTTCGTTGTAGGATACTCCACGAGAATATTTCGTCGCACGTGATCGCGACTTCCTCTTTCGTCACGTAAGCAGCGAGTTCTCCACGAGTCAGGAACAACGATGAAAAAAATATGATGCGTTGAATTTCGCGAACAAACACACAGAGAGGCGCACAAAGAGAGTTTCGTCTGCTCGCCGGTGAAGATCGCGCCGAACTGAAGCGAAGCGAACGACACCGAAGTACATAAACTCTGGGGGTTTTCTAGAGGCGGTGAGTCACGTTGGCTCATGGCCAATGGGTGAATTTGTGGATGCTACTCGTATGCATATACGACGCGCAACCACCGTAGGTCATGCCGATGACCCTGAGGCGACGCGAACTCGCTCGCTAAAAGCGTCTCTTGCTGATAATTGACGACTCGATCGCGAAAGACTGTCCCGCACACACGGCGGAGAAGAAAGGATATCGGGAAGCGAGTTGTTTGTCCAAGTAATTCCTTCTCCCGAGGATTTTCCAAAAATCGAACGGCCGGGAATCGCTCCGGCGGCGACCGGAGCGGCGACTACGAGAAACTCGCAAATGTTCCTCTCCGGTGCTCGTTCTTCTCTCGTGCTTCGGAACTATCTTGAAATTTATCGATCTGCTCCACTTGTATATCGTTAGCGCAGGCTTAAAGGAAGAAGACGCGAATGATGACGAAAACGATCCCGTGCGCTTTAACAATGAGGCTACGAGGAAGTCGCGGTGCCAGTGTGTTTCAATATCCGGTGCCGCGCAAGGGTGACTCACTTAACTCCATGAGAGACCTAGAATAACATTCGCGGCTTTTATTGAACGTGAAAACCATTAAATGGTCATTGTATCGCTTAGGAGAGGCGTGTATCAATAACGCTATTGAAATAACGCCATTGACGACGTGTGTGTACCCTCATTCGAAACCGCACAATGGACATTTAACGGTTCCTGGTTGCGGTAGAAATTATATTGTACGGAACAATGACGGAATAAAAAATGACAGCGATTATTCGGAGCATAATTGAGCGGCTACTCTATCGCTTTTATTGTTCGCGCGGGAATCATATTAGGTGACGTCCAATTTAGTAATCTACACGGAGAAAATATTGTAATAAAAATTATCATAAAATTTTACAATGTTGGATCATACCGGAATTATAATTAAAATTATTATATGTATTGTAACCTTTAGTGATGTGTACGATGAAATACATCACTAAAGATTACAACGCCATCATAATTTCAGTTATAATTTCGGCATAATCCAACATTGCGAAATTTTGTGGTAACTTTTATTATAATGTTTTCTTCGTATAGCGTGAAATATTGAGTGTCTGTGTTAGCTTCCAGATTATTACAATCGGAACAGTGGAGAAACGTAACATAGATATGCCTCTCTCTCTCTCTCTCTCTCTCTCTCTTTCCTTTTTTTAGTATATCCCGACGCAATGTCGCCTAGTGTCGCAATAAAACCGGTGACACATACAACCCTCTCGGCAAAGATACCTGGTAGCTCGTACACAACAAAAAGTTATCGTATTTTACGACGAAATGCCATTCATGCGCGAAAAGCATTATTGCGTACAAATTTAACGAATGCATTATAACGCGCATGCGAATTACAGGAACGTTGGTCAATAATATATTTGATAAATATCGACTCGCTCCGAGCCACGTAATTTCCCATGAAATATATATTAACGTGTATACTAAAACCACCTGCTATAATAGTCGGGTAAAAGCACCGGTGTGGTTGGTTCAAAGAAACGTCCCTCTTTCGATTGCTTTTCAGCACGGTGTTGATGAGAATTATTCATCGAAACACTGTGAGGAGCTTCGCGTTCGATTTTATTCGACGAATAAAATTCGCCTCCTCTCGCAGCGCGAATCTACACACAGCTTCGCGAAATAAGGCCCTATCCGTCGAACGATGCGCAGGCAGGTTGCAAGGAGACGACGACGACTGCATCTTCGTTTTATTTAATGTGCGGATGTCGGCGGGAAGTGAGGATTACTCATATACTGGCGGTAAGCCAATTCTCTACACGAGACGCGACTCATTAAGTCGCTGTCGCAACCGATATATCGTCTTCAAGCGTCGCTCGTTGTCCCGTTCGCTTGCGCGATATGGCTTGATAAGGGTCTCTTTTACATCGACGCCGCTCCACACTTTATAAGCTTTCTAATTTTTCATTACATTTTAAGGTATATGTTAAAAAAGAGAAAAATATGACGAAAAGAAAAATGTAACATGTGATATTTCGATATAACGTTCCGTTATTTTTGTGTACTTTTCAATTGCTACGTAACGGATGACGAATTTCCGAACATAAAAACATTAATTTCACGAAGGCCTGCACGCATACTTCATTAATATTTCATTTCATTTCACCGTTTACACCGTTTTTTGAGCCTTCTGTGTAATTTCGGGCAGCTTGATCTTTGGTGAATACACTCTGCGTCAACTGTCGTGATTCTGTCGGCCGCGAATAAATACAGAGAAACGGAGTTTCACGATCCGAGTCCATCCAAGTGACGTTGATTTTCCAATCTGCAGCGACGAGGGCCCGCGATCGAATTACCTTTCATTGATGTCACCTGCTGCGAGCCATGATTTTTCGCGCACGGGGAACAGGAACGGGACCGCGAACGGAAACGACGACCTCGACCTTCGACGGCGTTCACCAGCGTTCACGGCGACGAATTTCGCGCGGGCGTGTTCCCGCCGGGTGATCTCGCATGAGACGGAGCGGCGATCGTTCACGCGAGATCGAGAGGATGTCGCGCGTTCACACGACACTGCGAACGTATCGTCGCGGACGCACGTGGTTTCGTCAAAGCGAATTTCGGGGTCATAACAAAACGACGACCTCGCCGGCCGGCTGCACGGCCATCTTGCTACTCCTATCAGTCTTTCGCCCTCTCTCTCTTTCTCTATCTCTTTCTCCCGCTTTCTCCCTTTCTCTTGCCCTCTCTGTTAAAATACCGACGGATACCGACAGACACCGACACATCTGCGATTAATCGATACCTCGCGACGGCATCGATAACGGAGTCATCCCGCTTGTTCGCATTTTTTTTTAACGTGAAACTTTAATTAACAGAGGGACGTGATCGATTTCTGGTTTGCAGGGGAGGGTAATCGTATTCGCGTCGAATGAAACTGATAGTAGACGTTATGCAATTTCGAGGCATCAATCGAGACTGCCACCCATCGTTGGTTGCGGTTGGAAGCTGTTCTCCGTGATCAAACGAGTTTAAAAGATAACTTACGAGAAATAGCTATAACTCTCTCTCTCTCTCTCTCTCTCTCTCTCTCTTTCTGTACGTTTAACTTTTTACAATACGATTCTCGTGATATGAGGCGCGATACAAGTTTTTTTGTTTCTCTTTCGAGCTTCGCGCTACGTTACTATGTGTTATAATGGAGATATCATCGGCGGGGTTGTCGAAAGTGAGCACCTGGCTTGCCTCCGGCTGGTAAATCCGAATCTCCACGGTGCACCGTTTACGGAAAGGTATTCCGGGTAACCGTCGGTAAAGCCAGATATAAGAGGGTAAGAAACGCGTGCGGGGGCGTAGAACCAGTTCGAGTCGCTGTCGTCGTCGGTAAAGGAACATCGCACGGTATATGCCAGTACACTGTATAGAACAGGTGTAAACAATTCTGATAAGACGGGAAGATCTATCCAAGAACTACCGTGAAAGAACTACCGTCTCGTTCGTTCGTAACTTCCAGGTAGGGTAAAAATTAGTCGGAAGGCAAAGAAGGAGGGGGGGTCGTAAATTGTCAAAATGCAAAATACAGTGCACGTCGGCAATATGCTTTCGTGTTTCTTCGTACGTTTTTCCTTTCTTCATTCTTTTTTCGAATAAAATTTGTAATTGTATAATTACAGATATAATATGAATTTTTGGATTTCTTCAGTTTACATCCCTTCTCGACACTCATGTAGTTTTGCATTTCCAATCTAGGAGTATATTGATACAGTATTCGCTTACCTTGTCCTCCGCTTCATCGGCCCTGCCCTCCGCTTCTAATACCCGCTGCTCAAGTTCGGAGAGCTGAAACAAAAAGCAGGATCATTTTAGCGATACGTCGCCTTGCACAAGATTAATGGCGTTTCATGAAATAAACGATCGCCTCGGCTTTTAACCGTAATATCACCCGTCTTTGTAACTAATGCAAAATATCGCGCTATAAAATTCAGAGAACTAGTAATGTTTTTTTGTTCCTTACGAATAGCATTTTAGAGAGCTTGAACGAAATAGCTCTCGATGCGCGAATCGAATATAAACGGCAACTTTCGACGATAAATCTTTTTACACGAGATAAAATTAAATATACGATTATCTTGATATAGGAGTGGACTTAAAATACCTAGGTCAGTCATCATGCGAACGACGTGACATCGTTTACAACGCAAGGAGCCGGGAAATTGCAAGATCCATACAATTGATTCTTCTAACTTATATAACGCTATTTCGATCGAGCAGATTCATAAAGCACGGTGGAAACTATGTCGTCAACTTGATAGTCGCGCAGAAAAGCAGACGATTTCCAAGCATTTAACGCGAACAGCCGACTTTTCGAGGCGCTTTCTCACTAGAAATTTACTCCATGGTCCAGCTCGGGTTGACCTTAACTGGTTGTCGAGTCCAAGGTTATATTATCGGGTTCTAAAAAGTCATATAACATTGTGTGGTAATCAGGACCTCAGTCACACATAGGATTCATTATAATGGCCTCATCAAATTATACAATCAAATCCTTATTCATTTTTATCTCAGATAATGGAAAGTATATGATTAGATTAGGGTTTATAAAGAGTAAGAAATGCTACACTAGTGAAAAAAACTTACAAAATATAAATTGAAGAATAAATGTTGTTAGAATTGGATGATTTTCGACTTTAATAATAGATCAAATAAGATCTCGAAAAGAACCTGATCAGAATAAAACTTTATAAAATAATAGGATAATACATTAAAGTCCTAATATGTATACTTAATCATTATAACTTTAGAAAGGTCTTCTATATTCAATTTTTATCAATATATGATTAGATTTATTGTAGTATGGATTACCTTACTCTTATTTAGTTAGAAATTTGTACAATATCAGGTATACCTGATGACAATTTCCCAACTAGAAATTTACCCCATGATCTAACTCGGATTGACTTTAACTGATTGTCAGATCCATCTAAGGTTTTATTACCGAGTTCTAAGAAGTCATGTAACGTTGCGTTGTAATTAGGACCTTAATCAAGATTCATTATAATGTTCTCATCAGTTTATACTATTGAATCTTTATCACGTTTTATCTCAGGCAACGAAAATGATTATGATTAGATTAGAATTTATAAAGAGCAGAGAATGCTAAATTAATAAAAAATACCAATTAAAAATATAAATTGGAACATAAATATTGTTAGAATGGTACGATTTTTGATTTTAATAATTGGAAAACAAATATTTTTATGGAAGAAAATTATAAAAATAAAGTTTATTAACCAAATTTACTATCTACTAGGTTTGTTACAAAAAGTCCATATTAGAAACTGATAATGCAAGTCATAATAAATAAAATGAACAAAATTCCGAAAAGAATCTAATCTAAAGGTAAAATTTTATAAGATAATATATTAGGATAATACATTCAAGTCCTAATATGTACTTAATCATTATAATCTTATAAAGGTCTTCCTTTTTCAATTTTTATCAGCATATAATCAGGTTTACCATAGTAAGAATTACCTTGCGCTTACCTAGTTAAGATCTTATGCAATATCAAATACATCTGATGACAATTTCTAGTCGGGTTCTAATCAGGATGATCGTCTGGCTTCGCTCTATCAGGCTGATAAAACGGAGCGTTTTTATCGCGTTTCGCAAAAGTCTGCAAAATATGAAATGAAAGACGGCATCGCACGTCAATTTCGTGAGCGTGGGATCGCGGGAATTGTTCGCGTTACCTCGCGCGTCTCTGACGTCGAGTCATCGAGAACAACTGATAAGGATCTTTAATATCTTGGTGACGTGTAACAGATTCACGGTGTTCTCGAGGTAAGACGTTCCTAGGAAAGTTCGACGCGCGAGCACTTCGATGTCGTCTAATTTCGCGAGGGAAAGTTTCATCAAACTTGGTTAAGTCCATGGGACGAGGCGTACTTGCTCGCTCGATGACAGTTTAATGGTTACGATGGAGTTAAACCGGACTCTAATATCGGCTCGATCGGAGTGGAGATTAATACGCGTGTGTACGTCGGCGCGAATATCCCGCGTGAAAATCTCGTCTAAAGTACACATAGTAAAGTGTCTCGCGACTCTTAAACGATCGCGATTCCTCGATCGATCTGCGGAGTCGACTTTTACGCTTACTTTCGTAATCGCATCTTTCTCCGGAAGTTCTCATTGGACTCGCTCCTGCAATTTATCTAGCTGGTTCTGATCACGGCGACTTGTTAATTACGACAATTAGTCCTGATTTCTGAGCTAGTTTTGATATCGAGTCAGGATGAGAGCGATGATTTTGCTCCTCCTACATGCTTTCCTCGTTTGAAGCATACTTTTACGCGGTATTTCGCCCAGTGTGATATCAGCGACCGTAAAATAATCACCAGCCCTGCCGCAATAATAAAAGGGCTGGCGAGTATAAAGAATTCGTATTTCTTTGCGCTCTCTTTCTCTCTCTCTCCTTTTCTCTTTTTCTACCCTGTAACCTATCTATCTATCTCTCGCTCCGGCAAATAAAGCGGCCGTGTACTGCGATCTCGTCTCTTTCGAGGAAGATGAATCGGCAGAAGGAGGCGTGCTGCAGCACAGCGAAGAGGAGGAAGAAGAGGAGGAGGAGTAGCAGCAGGAGGGAGCAGGATCTCATCAAGGAGGGCGCAGTTAGCAGCATCTGGCGTCGGAGAGGAAAGAAAAAAGCAAAGGGCGCGAGAGACGAAAGGGAGAACGAAGCGTGGAGAACAGTGCAAAGCCGAGGAGAAACGTAGAAACGCTCCTCCTAATGCGGAGAGGGAAAACTCGCCGCGCGCGAGCGAGTTGCCAGAAAGGGAAATCTGCATGGGGAGGGTGGAAAGAGGAGCGAAGTGGACCGAGAGAGAACGAATGGTACATTAGCCGCAAAGGGGATGCGCTGCCGGGATCTCTCAAACTGTCGTCAGTGCGCGAATTCCACGATTTTTTTTTACGACGACGAAATGATACCGAGGCAGTGACGCGCGTCACAGACGTGATCTGCAAAATTCAAGATAACACAAACATCTCGCTTGGTCTTTTAACTCTTAACCCGCGTTGTTAATCCGTCTTACTCATTAGTACACCGGCGGGACTTAGGCATTGGACGCTCGAGAGACACGCTGTTAGACAGAAAAATCTTCATTATCCCGACGGATGAAATTAAAAATTTTCTTGCGGATTATTGTGGGATTTCACGGCGGACTTTCGCGAGCGTGAAACAACGTCCACATTGTAGTCGCAGAGGGGTGCGAGGTGCCCTCGACGTACTCTCAAGGTACTCGCGTCATTAAAGGGAAGTGCTTTTTCTTCTTTTTTGGAGCGGAAAGGGAGGTGAGTGCCCTTTTTCTCCGAGGGCAGCGGTACCTACCTAGCCGTAATCCGTCGGATGCCGTGCGTAAAGCACAGGGGACGAAAGTCGCGGTATACGATAACACACCCTTTCATGTTTCGATCGTCGGAAGATCCTGCGCGCGCCGGGACGTCGCGAGGATTGGCTCGTTAATGTTATCGGTGGCTCGCGTGACGTGAAACATAGAGAAGTGCGGCACGCTGGGTACTTTCTTGAATTTCGTTCGCTTTGTGCGCGGAGAATTTATGGCCGGTTCCCGATGCTGTCGCGTGCCGCGGAGAGAATCACGGAAAGTACACGGCGAAGAAGAGGTGGGTGGGCGGAGGTAAAAAGAACGGGCTGATCTTGCTTGGTTTTCTTTCTGGCGGCGGCGGCGACGACGGGCTGGAAAAATGCGAATGCGGAAATTACTTCCGGCTACGTGATTCACGCATCCCTCTTTCGATACGTTTCCACTTTGTTATTAAAAACGATCGCGGCGGTGGCCACAGCGCGGGAAGTAAGTAAATTAGAAAGCAGCGATATGAATCGCCGTGCATACATTTCGCCAAGTCGTGCGCTAATCCTCGCGAACGGAAATTATTTTCGCGATCGCCGAACGCCCCCCGCCTCTTTCTTCGCCGTTTCTGCTTTATCATTTCGTTTCACTGATCAGCCTGTCGGGGATTATTAGAAGCTTGCAAAGATTTATTTATTTAAAACTATCCCGAAAGAGTAAAAAAAGAGAAATTCTTTGTTTGCAGCCGAAATAAAATACATTTCATCACAAATAAAACATACAATTCTTCTTTACCGTTTTAATGTTTCCGTACACAATGATCGATTCAATTCCCTGTTGCGGGAAAATCTCACTCGAATTATACCGAGTCCTCGAACTCGCTCGGACTGCTTCCCGGCGCGAGAACGGCACGGTGGAATTAGCTCGATCAGGATGGGGATGTACGATGGTTAGCACCTCGTGCGTTAGCAGTTCTTCGCGGTGTACCGGCGCACGACCCTTATTTATATCGAAATTCCGGGGTCGAAAGGCCGGGTCGTTCTCCCGTGCCTTGTATATTAACCACACCAGCCGGAAAAGGGGTACGAACGTACGGACGGTTTCACTGCGAGGACCGTAAATGACGCCGGAGAATAACGTCGATACACTTGCTTACGGCGAGGAACTGCGATTCGCTGTTGGCCTACATCTCGCGGTATTAACCTTCATTAGCCGCCCGTTAACGTTTATGTTACGTTAACGTTAATCGGACTCCGTTAAGGACGAGAACGTAATGGAGGTAACGCGAAGGTAACAATCTCTCGTTAGAAGGAGCACGCGAGAAACTTGATGGAGCGAGCGAGGAAATATCACGATCTTCCGATAATGTTCGTACGATCCCGAGATCGTCAACTTCGAATCGACAAAATTGCTCCGCAAATTAACAAAATCAGCAAACTCGGCTTGAGGTCTAACAGTTTTGCCAGGAGT